GACATTATAGTTTCTCAGTAATCAATCTCGGCAACCAAACAAATTCAAAGCATTTTCTCAGCATCCAAACACCCAAATTCAAAGCATTTTCTTAGCATCCAAACACCCAAACTATACCATTTTCCAGCCAAACGAATGAAAACCACTAAGAATTGCTTCTTTGCCCAACTACTTCTGTTCTTTCCATTTCCATTTTGAACATATAACAAACATATAATGTCTTGGATAATCTCTTCGCAAACCAACATATAACAAAAAAAAACAAAAAACAAAAAAGTCGAACCCAGCTCGAACCCAATCATCGAACCCAGCTCGAACCCAGTCATCGAACTCGAGCTAGGTTCGATGGAACCCAGCTGATCTGGGTTCGGTGGAACCTAGGTTGGGTTCCGTCGAACAAAGCAACTAGGTTTGATGGAACCCAATTTGCTGGGTTCCACCGAACCCAGTAGACATAGAGGAAAAAGAGGAAGAAAGAAAAGGAAGAAAGAAAAAGAAAAAGAAGAAAGGAAGAAGATGATCGAAAGAGGGGAAGAAGATGGATAAAAAAAGGGAGATGGGTAAATTTGTAATTTTTTATTTTTTTATTAAGGCAAAATTGGTTGATGAGTTGGTGGTGAGTTGGTACTAACGTGGTTTAAAAAAAAATTCTAGATCAATGTTTTGTAAAATTATTTTTGCCACGTCATAAAAAAAACTATAAAAAATGCCACATGAGCGAGTTAACAGCCTGAATTAACAAAAGGACTAACGGAGTGCATTTTGTATAGTTAAAGGATCAAAAAAGTGCAAAAAATTGTTGAGGGACCAAAAATGTGCAACTCACTAAAGTTGATGGACCAAATTTAGCATTTAACCATTTTTTTTTCTTTTTGCATTTTTGATATTCAATAAGAAAAGAAGTTTACTAACTTTAATAATTTAACAGTAATTTTATTTAATAATAAATTTTAAATTTGAATAACATGTAAGTGAAATAAATGAAGAATAAGAAATCATGTAAGTAAGATGGGTAAAAAAAAAAGTTATTTCTCATCATAAAATTTAAAATAAAAAAAGTAATATGAAAAGAAAATATAAACATCATACCATTAAATTATCAAAATTACCACTTATATATTACATGA